CTTTCTGAAGAGGGTGAACAGTTCATCCTAGACTCAGGTTCAACCTGAAGTCAAAATGCAAAGCTTTTTTGTTTTTGCAAAATCCAGTACCTTCTTCAACACTGATATACATTAGCGATGGCACATATTGTAAATAAAGTGTAAAAGCTAAGGCAACACTGGTTAGAAAAAAAGGCTGAAAAATGTTTCACTCCTGTGTGCGCAGTGGACAGTCACAAATACAGAGGGTGATAAATATTAGAAGGGCCAGAAACTTGCCAAAGCAGATCAAACCTACTGAGGTAGTTACTGTTTGCCCCCGAAACTGCTGTTTGTCGCCTGTGCTGCTGAATGCTACATCAGCTGCTTCAGAGAGGAGAGCTCAGTGGACAGAAGAGCAGCTTGGCATTGCACAGAGAGGAGAAACAGAGGCTTTAAAACAGGTAAGCCAGTCATCATTAGTGGAAATTAGCCAGAGAGGGACTCTTTGTTAGGAACTCCAGTGATAGAACAACAGGTAATGGGTTCAAACTGAAGGAGGGAAAGTCTAGGTTGGATATGAGAAAAACGTTTTTTACTGTGAGGGTGGTGAGACACTGGCACAGGTTGCCCAGGGGCATGGTGGCTGCCCCAACCCTGGCAGTGTTCAAGGCCAGGCTGGATGAAGCCTTGAGCAACCTGTTCTGGTGGGAGGTGGCCCTGCCTGGGTCAGGGAGTTGGGACTAGGTGATCTGTAAGGTCCATTCTAACCCCTAAATTCTATGATTCTATGAAGCAGTCCCCAACAAACCTGCTACTGCCAGGCAGCTTTAATTTGCTTCAATAGCATTTAACCATTCTACTCTTTAGGGCACCCCTTGGTGTTTCAAAGCCTTTGCCATTCCAGTAGCTGACTGTGGCCAAAACATGGTGCAGATTCTCCCTGCCCCCTGAAAAGCTTGCATCTATCCTTCAGAACAGGCTACATGCTATTTAACAGTCAGGAGGAAACAGTGAGACACAAAGCCAATGGGCCAGATTTGAAGCCTTGCCAAAATGCTGAATCTCTTCCAAAAAACTACTTTTAGTCAGGTCCCCCATCTGTGGCTCACTTCCTTTTGCTCATATTAATAGTTCTTTTTGGAGGCTTTACAGAAATAGAAAGCAGAGCTTTGAGGGCTGGGAAGCACCCAATAGTCCCAGCATAAAAAGATGTGGCAATCCTCAGTGTTAGTTTCCTTGAGAGGTTACAGGGAAACCCAATAGAAGCCAGACCCAAAGGAATTCTGGCAAGGGGATTCCTCTTCGCTCAGACTGTGAGGAGTCTCTTGTCTCTCCTGTTACTGAACAAGGTAATGGTAACTTCCTTTTTCCCTCACTGTACATTAGCCACGACCAGGATAACACCCTTGAAGCAGAACAGCCTGACATCCTTCAACAGGCACATGCTTCATCCTACACTAGTTTGTATTTCAGGCAATTAATTGTTGTACTAATTAAGCTCAGGTTTCTACTGCATGTTTGCTTTGTAAGGCAGTTCTAGCTGCTGAAGAAGCATCCTATAAAATCTTGCAGCACTTACAACTTAAGTTATACAGAAGGTAAAGGTCTCGTGCCACTCCACATCTGCCTATTAACAGTGTAACTCTGCTGTACAAAATTCCAGCTTGATTAACAACACAATCACAAACCTGAGTATTGAAAGCAGCAACCCCCAGTTAACAGATTGCAAATATAAGACATGTATTTCAAATAGCCATACTGCTACTCTTGTATACCACTATTCAGCAACAAAGGCAGGGATGTCAACAGAAACATCTATTCCTACCTACCAAACTGTGGGAGAATTTGATTGCTAATGGACATGTGAGCAATCCAGCCTTGCTAGCAGGGCCTGAGCAAGCTGCAAGCTAAGCTGTTCAAGGACACTGCTGCAGCTGGAATGTGAGAAAGAAGGTAGCAAGATAAGCAGCTCCTGGCTGTGGGATGCAGGAGTTGAAGATAGTTAGGGGTGGAGAGTAATGGTTAAGTATTTTATGATTGATATGTTAATAACCAATTATGTGTGTAAGGTGGGCTAGCAATAGTAGTTAACCAATAATAAGTGGATGTTTATAATAGGTGTGTGTAAAACACCTCCATGGCAGATGACAAGACTGATGCATCTAGCAAAGCCACCGTTTTGGTCAAAAATTGAAAATCAGTTAAATGGGGAGAATTGTGTCATTGAGTAACTCCAGTTTAAATCTGTGTTCTACTATTATTATTATTAATTATACCGTGTTTGTTACAATGTATGCAATTGCTAGTGTGACAGTTTAGCTATAATTTTTAAAGAAAAATGGGGAATATGTTAGGGCCTGGCTAGCTGAGGAGCTGTAACTTGAGCAACAGTTAAAGGAATGCTTAAGCAATCAAAACAAAACACACAAGTAGGTCTTGCTGACCTTGTTTCTAACTTCACACATTCCTGTGCCTTCAATCCCAGCACCTTATGATGGTCTCGTTCTCTCCTGCTGCCAGGGTTTTTAGGTCTGGTTTAGTTTTACTGTCTTATAGATAAGTAATTTTGCTAACAAGCTAGATTAGTGCTATTAATTAGATTCTCATATATACTATGTAAACCTTGCTATCAGGATGTAAGAGCAGGATGCAGCTTAAAATTGTAACCTATCATAAGTAAGAATTGTACTTATTGACAACCAGTCGAAAGTTGTGAGTATGGGAGACTTCATACTATAAATACTGTTAGGTGCCCAAAATAAAATATATTTTGGGTGGGATAAAGATTTAGTTAAAATAAGGTTAATCATTTGTTTGTTATAGGTTTGTTGTTAATGTTGATAGCATGTGTTTTAAGAATAATTTCTGGAAGGATTAGTAAAACCATGAAGCAAGTCTGGATTGCTCAAAAACAAATGAGGAATTTGTGGGAGAATTTCTGATTGCTAACAGACATGAGCAATCCAGCCTTGCTAGCAGGGCCTGAGCAAGCTGCAGGCTAAGCTGTTCAAGGACACAGCTGCAGCTGGAATGTGAGAAAGGAGGTAGCAAGATAAGCAGCTCCTGGCTGTGGGATGCAGAAGTTGAAGATAGGGGTGGAGAATAATGGTTAAGCATTTTATGATTGATATATTAATAACCAATTATGTGTGTAAGGTGGGCTAGTAATAGTAGTTAACCAATAATAAGTGGATGCTTATAATAGGTGTGTATAAAAGAATCACTTTTGTAAATAATAAAGACAGTCACGAGATATTCAAGAAGATAATGGCGTCGCCTCTTTGTACACAAAATCCTGCACTAAACCATCTCCAGAGATGCCAAGTACTAGCATGGGATACCACAGACAGTTTGATTCTTACCGTGAAGCTCATGGTACAGCAACAGAATGGAATTCTTTTCTCCTCTCTGTGTTAAAAATTGTCACTCTCAATGGGCACCTAATATAGACTCAAAATGGACTTCAGCTTTGTGTCAAGATGGTCTTTCTCAGAACACTCTAGTGACATTCAGAAGCCTCTACTTAGGCATGGAGAGGAAATTCTGTGACAATGTCTTCCCTCCACAGTAAGAGCTGTTAAAGAACTGCAAACAGAACCAAAAGTTGTTACTATCAGCAATTAGAAAGGCTTCAGTTTGCATACAGACCAGTGCAGTTTTACCTGCTGGTTCTTACAGACTGAAACACCTGATCAACTGGTGTCACTCACCATTCTCTTCCAAGTGACAGCTCATTTGCAGAATGATACATTTCCACAAAGAAGTGTTTAATATTATGACTAAAGCCTCAAATCACTCATTTTATGTTGAAAATGCCATCTTCAGGAAAGCACTACTGCTACACAAACATGACTCACATGCCATGTTTGGAGCAAGGCTTTGTTAAACTGTCTTGTCTTTTGGGCAGATTCCTCAGGCATAAGACAACACTACAATATTTTTATAGTTAAGCTCCGGTACCTCTTAAAACCCATTTTAAGGATGTTGCAAATGCAAACATTTAGGATGACTATTACCCAGAAGAACATGTAGCAGGGTTTTTCCTGGTGATGAAAGACCAAATACAGCTTTATTTACACACAATTCAACAAGTTAATACATTAGTTCAACTTTTCTGTCTGCACACAAGGGAGAGTCTTCACAGCATCAGAGCAAAAAAGCAAGACTAGCTCTTTTGCATGTGTACAGACTGATAATTGACTGTATGCAAGTATGTGATTAGGTACAGAAGTGTTACATTTAAACATTTCAATCATTAAAGTCAGTAAGAACAACCACACTACTCCTTACTCAAAATAAACTGAAGTTACCTTTGGCTTCCTGCAGATCAGCTGGTGATCTACACAGCTGTGTACAGATGTTCAGATCAAAGCTAAAGCTGATCCTGAGTTTTGTTCAAAACATTAGCACTTGTATTCAGTTGTGTTTAATGGATAACCATTTATAAGACTTCCCCCATATACCTGCACTACCTTTCAAATTCATAAAACATATCAAATTCATCCTGGAAAATGCCTATTTTATATTGTCTTCTTCTCCCAGCCAGAGGGGAGAACTAGCAAGAGTTAGAATATATTTTTTCACTGCAAATATAGACTCAGGCTATCAAAGCTGTGTGTTCCTAAGGAAAAAATCTGCCCAAAGAGAAAAGTAAGAAATGCAAGAATACAAGTTCAACACAGAGATCTGAAAATGAACCTGTATCTACTGTAGGTCCATATAAAGCAAAAGAACACAGTGCTCTGCTTCTCAGGAAGCTGCCTCTGTGTTTTCCATAACTGCAGCTGCTAATATTAGTTTCAAACGTACTACTGAAAAATTCTTCATTACAAATGCCTTCCAATTCTTTGGAGAATAAATGACAACAGGACTAAACAAGAAAAAGGAAACAAAGATCTTTAAAAGTCACTGCATCACATGAAGTGGCCAAATCTAGATATCAAGTCCACTATTTTCCAGAGAAGTTGGTTTAAGCTTGAAATCAAACTACAGTGTGTTTGCCCAAGGGTAGTCCTGTCATGTAAGAGCAGACAAGTTTATGTCAGAACCATTTATTAAACAAAACTGATACCAATGCACACATAGTCAAGTTAACACCCTCAATAAAAAAAGCATGTCGGTCAAGACAGAATTATCTTCGCTTCTGGAAGATGTTGCCACGGCCCATACCACGGCCTCGTCCTCTCGCAGCCACTGAAGAAAGAAAACATCAGGGATGACATGAATTTGACATACCTGCAGAGTTACATCAACAACTGACAAGCAAAATCAAACAGCACTCAGAACTTCTTGCTCAGAAGCAAGGGAACTACGCTGCCCTGTGATGGTCAGAAAGTGATGTGACAGATAGCAAGAAGCTTTCTGTGAGAAGAACCAGAACTAATGGTCATACAGTCTGGCTCCTTAGAGCAGCTGCAGTGAATATTCATACATCTCGTGCTCCTTCGAAGCCGACACACAGATTTGTGCAGCCCGAGAGATTCAAAACTCCACACTCTTCCAAGGTTTTGCAACAGAACTCTGTGTGCTTCAGCAGGTGTTACTCCCCCATGTAACCTTCCTGCATTTGCTGAAGTTAACCAGGGCCTTTGTGGGAGAATTTCTGATTGCTAATGGACATGTGAGCAATCCAGCCTTGCTAGCAGGGCCCGAGCAAACTGCAAGCTAAGCTGTTCAAGGACACAGCTGCAGCTGGAATGGGAGAAAGGAGATAGCAAGATAAGCAGCTCCTGGCTGTGGGATGCAGAAGCTGAAGATAGTTAGGGGTGGAGAATAATGGTTAAGCATTTTATGATTGATACGTTAATAACCAATTATGTTGTGCATAAGGTGGGCAAGTAATAGTTAACCAATGGTGAGTGGGTGCTTATAATAGGTGTGTATAAAAGAATCACTTTTGTAAATAATAAAGAACAGTCACGAGATATTCAAGAAGATGATAATGGCATCGCCTCTTTGTACACGAACTCCTGCAGGCCTTGGCAGCACATGGCTGTTACTCAGCCTTGTTTTAACTAGACTGTTCCCCTCAGAAAGGCACAAATAAGAGTGAGCTACAGAATGGCTAATAATTACAGCTTCCCAGTAGTTAAAGTATCATCTTTATAACTGCAGCTGTTGTCCTACATAAGCTTAACAAGAACACCTGATTCCTTCCCTAAGTATTCCAAACAGCTGGTGGCCACAATTGCTGGAAAACATAAGACCAAGTTTTATAGAAAGCCTCAGTTTAAGAAGACTACTCACTACATCTAAATTATTGTAGCATCAATATTACATGTTGAGGTAACTTGGACATTCTGAGCCTTGACTCCCACCATGAGATGAAGCATAGAGAAAAACACTGCACGAACCAGTGATCTGTTTCGTACGGTTTACATCTCCTCAGTGACAGAGATGAGTTTTCCAGTTCTACAGAAAAACGGGGAGGGACCACAGACCAGGTGTACATACCTTGAGCTTTGAGAATGGCTGCTTTCCCTCGCCCAGCTCCAGAGCCCTGGTTTTTATTCTTCATGCTCTTTAGCATAGGAGCATTCTTCAACATATCTGGTAAGATGAGAAACCGTATCTTGCTGCCTCTGATGTACACCTGCTCGAGCTGTGCCACTCGCCCATCTCTGTATGTCACTGTTATGTTGGACATCTGGAAGGTGAAAAGCAGTCAGTGCTCACACAGGCCTCAGCTGAGACACAAAGCATACACAACAATGCTATTCAAGCAGGCCCAGGACTTTTGCTTTCTTTACAGTTAATTTTATCAACTTTGTTACTTTTGTTTTCTCATATTCACTCAGTTTTAATAAAGCTGTTCTAGTCCTCACTATTAAGTAAGTATTTTGACCTCAACAGTGACTTGCCTGAAGTCAAACAAAATTAAGCCCTCTTGGAATGATTAAAGTAATGTGCATTAAATGTGATTCAGTTTCTTGAGTCAAGGTTTATTTATTCTTACACTCAGAGGCTTTTAATAAAGAACTCTAGAGAAACAGGAGAGAAACACAGGACAGAATCTTAAATTTTACGGACAGGAATAACCAATCTGACTCTAAAACTGGAAAGAATAAGCTCTGGCCTCTTTGGAGCACTCAGTAACCCTGAATCCATTACACTGTGGTAAGACAGTGTACATGCAGCAGGACAGTTATCTTTATCCCAAGACTAAAAGCAGCAGCCTTTGAATCAAGCTGCTACTAAGCCATCAGCCCTCCCAGGCCCAGATCACAGAGCCTTCCCTGCACCCCTGTGATGCAGCTATACCTGACAATTCATGTTGTCCTCAGCTTCAATAAGTTTGCCTCGGTAAACTTCTCCTGTATTGGTTTCACATGTCACGATGTGGCCTTCAGCCTCGTGCAGGACTTTGATTGGCACTCCAATCGACATGGCTGTGGTGTTGTGGTTCTACACCTGAGACAAGGAGAAAACAAAAGCCGTTATCACAAAGAAAGCTGTAGACTAGGTTTCATCCACACAACCGATGATCTTCCTCAGTATAAAGCACCGATTTTCTCACTTATTCAAATACACCAAACGCTTTGTGTTCATAAGACTCCTCTAGAAAGGTGCCCAAGGAAGAAAAGACTTTAAATACCAGGAGTCAGTCTTTTCTAGCTCTCTTGACCTAGGAAATTTACTTTTAAACACCAAAGAACCAATCGCATCCTCAGGTGCGCCGCATGGCAACAGGCCGAGCTGCATCCCATAGGGGCACGGCCAGCCTGGGCCCCTG